CCGCTCTACGCGGCATCATCCACGCAGCCAGCAGCGCCTCAGCGTGAGGTGGTGGCACCGCCTTGCTCTTGTAACAGGCGTGGTGCTCTGGCTTTTAAGAATTTCTATTTGATTAAATGTCATCAGATTTGACTAAGTAACGCCCTGCAGTTACTCAGCGGCCTGTGCGAGGGTTTTCACCGTGTCGTGCGTGGCTTGTTCTGCAGGAAATGGAGAAGTCGGATGCGAACAACTTCCTGATCCTGTTCCGGGACTCGGGCTGTCAGTTCCGGTCTCTGTACACTTACTGTCCGGAGACGGAGGACATCGCCAAGCTGACCGGGATCGGCCCCAAGTCCATCAGCAAGAAGATGATCGAGGGCCTTTACAAGTACAACTCCGACAGGAAGCAGTTCAGCCACATTCCAGCGAAGACGCTGTCCGCCAGCGTGGACGCCATCACCATCCACAGCCACCTGTGGCAGAGCAAGCGGCCCGTGACGCCCAAGAAGCTGCTGCCCACGAAGGCGTAGGGTCGGGGTTCCCTCCGGGACGTTCGTGGGGACCGCCACCGCCTCCTGCCTGGGGAGCCTCCCTGATCGCCAGCTTACTTTTCTTAGTGTCAGTTTCTTTCTCTATAAGCTGGGAATAAAATTGGCTACTATTTGTAAAAAATAATATAAATGGAGCCACTTTAAAATGGAGCCAGACCAGGGGCACGGAGCCCACCTCACACTGCTGGACTGAAGGGGAAGACGGCGAGGGTACAGAATATGGGTTTATCTGTTGCTTTTTTAACACTTTCCATGTATGTGCTTGTCCTCGTGTTTATTTTGATGCCTTTCTCTCCGTGGGGTTTATTCCGAGGTCCCTGTGTTGTGTCCCGTGGGGATCACGGAGGGAGGTGGCCGCGCAGGCCGCGCGGGGCCCTGGTGTTGGTCTGACGGGACCTCGTGTTTCCTGGTGTCAGAGCGTCGGAGCCGCAGTAAGCGTGCCCGCCTGTGTTTCTCACTCACTAGTATTAACGTCTCGGCTCGCGGGGGTGTGGGACCTGCTAGAGGTTTGCGGAGCCCCCGGGAGCTCAGCCAGGAGCACGTTGCGGGTTAATCAGTGTTGTCTGCTTCCCGCCCGAGGGCCGGTCGCCTGAGCTGGGGCGGGAGCGGCCCTTTTCCTCATTTTATTTATAACTGACATCCAAACTCTATTAGAACTTACACATGTACAAAGGGCTACACTTTAATTTTAAAACAGCTTCCATGACTTTGCTTACGTTGAGTTTTTCTTCTCCTGTATCCCATCCGAGAGGGCGGCTCAGAGCGAGCGCACACGTGCCGTGGGCGGGGCTGTCCCCGGACGGCCTGTGCCGGGCTCCTGGGAGCCTCGTTCTCAGGAAGATGCGGGCGATCATGTGACCGGGCGATCATGGGACCCGGGCGCGGGTGGGTGCGGCAGCCGTGGGCCTTGGGGAGCCTAGGGGAGCGTCAGCGTGTCAGACAGGAGGGTAGAGGCTCACGGGCACGCGTTTCTCACTGAGTCGTTAGAGAGTCGCTAGCATCTCCTGTGATGCACGTACTTACTTGGAGAGACAGGAGGGACGGATGTCGGATGGGGCTTTCCCGTCGTCCCAGGCCCTTCGGGCATCCGCGCCTCTGAGTTACCGACGTTCTCAATGCTGTCGATATCGTCCTGTAATTTATGTCCTTATATTTATGTATATTTGTTAAAACTGTAAAAAATTCACAGATTTTTTCCCAATATCTGTGCAAGATGTATGTGTAGCTCAAACTACTCGTGACCTGCTGTCTGCATGTGAGAGGGGCCATGTGGCTCTCGTGTTGTAAGTGGATACACGCCGTGTGTAACATGCGCATTAAAACGGGGAAACGCACACGTTACCGTTCAGTCTGTCACGTTAGGGGACAGTTATCAAATGGCGTTTAGATTAGGAGTGGCTTAAAAAGGAGTAAATAAACCCAATTAAGATGTGGCAAATAGTCATCAAAAAGAGATTAGTGAGCATCGTACATAACTAAATTTGGTCTTTTTTTTTTTTAAAACGTATTTTTATTGGTTTCAGAGAGGAAGGGAGAGGGCAGTTATCAAATGGCGTTTAGATTAAGACTGGCTTAAAAAGGAGTAAATAAACCGAATTAAGATGTGGCAAATAGTCATCAAAAAGAGAATTAGTGAGCATCGTACGTAACTACATTTGGTCTTTTTTTTTTTTAAAACGTATTTTTATTGGTTTCAGAGAGGAAGGGAGAGGGAGAGAGAAACATCATGGATCAGCTGCTTCCTGCAGGCCCCGCACTGGGGATGGAGCCCACAACCTGGGCATGTGCCCTGACCAAGAATCGAACCCAGGATCCTTTGGTCTGCAGGCCGACGCTCTATCCACGGAGCCAAGCCGGCCGGGGTTACATTTGGTCTCTTAAACCAGGTCTGGCTCCTGCCGCGTCTTCCTCATGTCGCCAGGACATTAAATTTTCAACAACTGGACATAGGTCCATGGGGGCAGAGTCACGGCCAACAGCCGCCCGCTGGTCTCCCGTGTGCGTGGGCCCCGCAGCCGCCGCCTCTAAAGGTAGAGTGTGATGTCGCCGCAACAGCCCGCCACCCTCAGTGTAGCATCTGCTTCCTTAATGGTGCAGCCGTTTTTAAAAATCACGTCCGAAGGGTTCGATGCAGATCATGGGCTCGTCGGTCCTGGGGGTTCCCAGCGACCCGCTGGCTGACACACACTGAGGTCAGGCGCCCGCGACGATCGCTCAGGTGCACCTGCCACGCTCCGGAGCCTTCTAGTGTAGATGTTTATATATTTACTAGGGGCCCGGGGGACCAAAAATTTTGCACCCGGGGGGGGGGGGGGGGGGGGGCTGTCATGGTGTCCTCTGGCCCCTGAGAGCCGGGCCAGCCTTTCCTGGGGACTTCCTGGCGCCGCCCACCTGCCCACAGGCGCACGGCCCCGCGCAGTGTGGCTCTCCTCGCCCGAATAAACGCATGGCACCCGAGACCTGTGTCTTGAGTGAAATGTGGGGTCTGTCAGTGACACTATCCGGACTTAGGTGAACTCGTAGTTCTCCCGTCTCAACCTGCCAGCCACCAGCCGTGTGTGTGTGTGTGTGTGTGTGTGTGTGTGTGTGTGTGACACACCACGGGAGAGCCATGGGTGTCCTGGTTGAGGAGCAACCCCCGATGGGAGGGGTGCGTCTTTGCCAAGCAGATCCTGGGCCTTTACGTCTGGGACCCCTTAGCGCCGACCCTGCCACGAGGGGGTGGGGGCAGGTGAGGCCCCGAGGCCACACAGCTGCAGCCCCGGTTTCACTCTGAGTCACCCGGGGGCTGTGCTCATGTCGCAGACCCTCCCTTCCCCTCCCAGCGCCTGTGCGGTGGCTGCCAGGGTCTGAAAGAAATGAGTGTCTGCAACATATCCACGGCCTCGGGCATCCAGGGCGGGGTCCTCCCCTGGTGCCCGCCAGGCCTTCACACACACACACAGATACACGCGTGTGGATGCACATGCACAGACACAGCCGCCACCTGCCGCGGGCTGTGTGGTCTGCGGGAAACCCCATCATGGTGGCCGCTCGGTCACAGTGGCTCCCCGCCCCCAGGTCAGTGTGGCCCCATGAGGGGAGGTGGCTTTGCAAGGCCTGCCTCACGCTCGGGCCCCAGTCACTGTCCACCAACAGCAACTGAATTGGCAGCCGTCTGTCTGTCCTTCGGCCCGGGACCCCAGGCCTAGTGAACTGTGCGACTCCTAAGCCACTGGCCGACCACCCGCTGTGTGCAGAGGAAAGCGACCACCCACTGTGTGCAGAGGAAAGTGACCACCCACTGTGTGCAGAGGAAAGTGACCACCCACTGTGTGCAGAGGAAAGTGACCACCCACTGTGTGCAGAGGAAAGTGACCACCCACTGTGTGCAGAGGAAAGTGACCACCCACTGTGTGCAGAGGAAAGTGACCACCCACTGTGTGCAGAGGAAAGTGACCACCCACTGTGTGCAGAGGAAAGTGACCACCCACTGTGTGCAGAGGAAAGTGACCACCCACTGTGTGCAGAGGAAAGTGACCACCCACTGTGTGCAGAGGAAAGTGACCACCCACTGTGTGCAGAGGAAAGTGACCACCCACTGTGTGCAGAGGAAAGTGACCACCCACTGTGTGCAGAGGAAAGTGACCACCCACTGTGTGCAGAGGAAAGTGACCACCCACTGTGTGCAGAGGAAAGTGACCACCCACTGTGTGCAGAGGAAAGTGACCACCCACTGTGTGCAGAGGAAAGTGACCACCCACTGTGTGCAGAGGAAAGTGACCACCCACTGTGTGCAGAGGAAAGTGACCACCCACTGTGTGCAGAGGAAAGTGACCACCCACTGTGTGCAGAGAAAGTGACCACCCACTGTGTGCAGAGGAAAGTGACCACCCACTGTGTGCAGAGGAAAGTGACCACCCACTGTGTGCAGAGAAAGTGACCGCCCACTGTGTGCAGAGGAAAGCGACCGCCCACTGTGTGCAGAGAAAGCGACCGCCCACTGTGTGCAGAGAAAACGTGTGTCCTGGAGGCGGGAGCAACGGGACAGGGTCACTGAGCCGCACTCTGTGATGCCAGCCAAGGCCCGGGGCCCCTGCAGAGCCCGGGGAGCCAGCATCGCTGGGCCCCACCCAGACCCCGCCCAGGACGGGGCTCCCAGGGCGGCTGCACCCTCACGGCCCCCACCAGGCAGACGTGGAAACGGGCCGGTTACGAAGCTGCTGTGAAGCCAGACTGGTCACTAATGTTCTGACGCAGACACGGGCCCTACAGACGCGGGTTTACGACACAAGGGCACAGCAGGGGGCGGTTCCCAGGATCGCTTGACCTTTGATTTGTCCGTGGCCGTTGCTCGTCAGTATTGATGTCAGTTTCCAGTACAGTACGTGCTTTGCATTGAATGGTCCTGGGAAAGTTCGAGAGAAACCTGGAAAGAAGAAGACTGCACTCTAGGTCGATGGGGGAGCTGGCAGACTTGTTTTCTAACAAGAACAGAAGTGACTGCTTCTAGATCAGCAAAGAGGAAGGAACATTTTTAACCTCGGAAATTGCTGAGAGCAACAAACGGGGCTACACGACAATGGAAACCTAAAGACGGTGAAAATGGCTGAGAAAAAAGCCGTGGAAATATCTGAAGCCAATGGGGCCCTGATTTAGCCTCAGCAATGAGCTCACACACACGGACAGTAACACATGGTCACGCCAGACAGACGTGTGAAGGGCGAGATGAGACGCGAGAGTAACTAAATGTGCAGAGACTCGAGCTCGCTGTGTTGGAAGAAATGCAAATTACAGCAAGGTGCCCTTTGCGTTACTCATAAAAGTGGGGAAATAGGCTTTACCGGTGGACATGCCCAGCGAGATGGGTCGAGCCCAGGATCCAGACAAAGCCACACGGTGACCAATCACTGTCCCTCTCGGGCCCTGGGAGTTCCATAGCCTTTGACCTTCACCAGGGCACTGACACCGTAAAAACAGCAACAAAGAAGAAAAAAAAACAACACAGTCTTACGTGCAGTTATTTCATCCACATTTCCACAACAGCAAAAATGATACTGGACACAACCTCAA